GCACGCACACTCTTGTCAGTCCTGCTTTGCTGTTGAGCCTGAGCGCTGCATGCAGCTCTGCCCCCTTCCAGGGCTGCTGGAAGTCAATAAGAGACTTGGACACATCATCTCTGCATACTCCTTAGGTAGAACAAGAGCATGGAGGGGCAAGAGTGTCTTGGTCCTCTGTGAAAGGTTTTGTTTGCCTCCTGAGATAGAGCTGAAAACTCACCATAATGAGTAAGAGAATCCTGAGCATGGGGACTGAAGCTGACATCCCTGACAGTCCAGGTTCCCAGGCGAAGGGTGAAGAATTGAGAGTCATATCTTATCTGAAAAGGGATTTGAAATTTCTTTGGCAGTTGTTTTTGATGATGGTGATGACGGAATAGTTTAAAGCCTTTTTTCTGTCAATGGAATGAAGGATCTGGAAAGATGTCAACCATCCCAGAAAGGACTTCTCAGGTTGCTCTTGCAGAACTGGCTTGTCATGAAATGAGCTGTGGTATCTTCAGCTTCCTACCTCCTCCCATCACATGTGCCCTGGGTCCTGAAAGCAACAACACAGAGTATTTCTTCCGTAAGGAAGGATGCAAATAATAGGGACGTATGCATACTGTGAGCAGCAGTCATGGGAAACAGTGGAGAATGAGAGAGTAGAGAGAATGGGAGGCTCAAGCCAGAATAATGTGGAGGGAAGATTTGTCCTGTAGCCTTTTTCTAAAGAACATCCTTAAGCAAGGATGATCCATTTGCCAGGGCTGTGCACCACTTCCTGGACTTCTCCTCAAGGCAGACACTAATAGAGTCATGTCTGTTTTATAGAGAGGAATGAATGGCTCAGATTGCATTACTGTATTTCAAGAAGCGTAATACAAATCTGATTAGAACGAGGTATAACTGCATAGGTGTGCGTATGGCCAATGTGTATATGTCTTTATACATGTGCAAACACAGGTTACTTCTGGGAAGTACATGTTTAAGTTAGTCTGTAGGTTAATCCAATGTGGGACTTGATTTCCAGGTTCACTCATTGAGAACTGATATAATCTATGTGATTAGAATGAAAACACTGAATATGTTGGAACAATGAGCGTTCTTTCAGTGAAATGCAGCAAAGTCCCTGATGAGTTTTGCTAGCTCTTCTCTCGGAGGCATTAGCAGAAGAGAGGGGGAGAATCTTGCACTCAGTTATTTACATACACATAAAGATTTATTTTGAGCAAGTAATAATTCTTTGGCAATTAGGGTTAATTAAAAGCAATACCTTACCTATAAATGTATTCAGTTACTTTGTCGAGACAATTTTATATTCGTTTCCTAAGATGTTCCCATCTGCATCCTAATCAGCGTTTTGCTGTAATTGTGATTAGAGGCCGTACTGCAGAGACAGACTCCGTTAAAAACGGAAGGGAAGAAACAAGCAGCTGGGTGGTAATAGACTTGAGCGTCTTCTGAGTATTTACAATGGTTTAGGCTTTTTATTTCAGGGTGAGTGCAGCCTTAACCTGTGCACAGTGGAAGCAACGCCAGCATTGCTTCTGGATGCAAAGCACATGTAAGAAATGTCCGTATGCTTGATATACTTACAGGGGGAGAGGGGAACTTAAAAGATCTCTCTCCCCCGGTCCTCACCCTCAGTCATTGGCTCTAACTTCCTCATAAGTTTTCCCTGGGTAGTGAAGAATGAAATGTGTGATGGAACCCAGCTCTTTGCCCCTTCAGCTGCTGGCACATCTGCTAGTCTGCTGAGGATGGGACGCAAGCCACCATATGGCTGAAATGTTAGCAACTGAAATTCTGATGATTGCTCCCATAAAGCCAAGCTAATATTTCAGCAGACTCTCTCTCCCAAATTGATATGCACAGAGCCTCAGGTTTGATATTTAGCTCTTTCGGTCTTTCTCAGGGCACAAAACCAATAAAACCTGTTCTCTTGTTTATCCAGGATCTATTTTTTGAGTGCACATGCCTGTGCATCTTTGTATGGCTGTGTCAAACACTTGGTGATCCTTGATTCCAGGCTGTCACTGCTACTGCGTGTGTCAGTTGCTGCAGGGCTATGGCTTTTCCCATCATTTTATTCACAGCTGTTGCTAATGCTATGCTACAGATAACAGCTAAAAGGGATAGTTTTTGTGAACCGTACAGTGTTCAAAACACCTTTTTATCCTTTCCTCTTGGAAGAAAACTTTAAAGTTTGTGACAGTGTACACTGTGGAAGTTTTTCAGATGTGTGCTGACAGTATACCTATTTGCATGCGTCCCTTCTGAGTGTGAATGAAGGGTTAGTGAAAACGGCTCGTGCCACATCTGGGTACGGATTAGCTTTGGCTAAGGCAAGGAAGATGTATGATAAACAATATATTTTTCTCCTGCTGTAAACAAATCTGTTATTTGCAAGTATTTGCCAAACAGTTTTGGATGAAGAATTTTAAGCATCAGGCATCAAAACATTTGCTCTGACATTTCTGCATTTGCCACTCAGGATGTGTTATGGCTCACAAGCACTTGCTTTTGCTCAGTGATTGAGTTATTGAACTTGAGAAAAACAGAAAACTGTAACTGATATATTGCGAACAGCAAATAACTATATTTACTCATCAGTCCCCTGTTTTGGACGAATGTAGGTGTTCTCTGGAAAATGACCATTTCTCAAATGCCTTTAGGTGTTCCTAGTAAGGGCATTTGAACATGGTCAGATCCAAGCATTCCTGAAGAGTGAGCATAATTTTTGCACTATTTGACCAGTTCTCCTGTCCTGAGTGTGTACACAGTATCCAGGTATGTGTATCGGGTATGTGTCAGGGGTCACGCAGAAGGGGCTGTGAAAGAACGGACTTTGAAAATATATTGCATTGTCTGGTGGGACCTGGGCTGTGCAAGAAGAGCATAACGGAGCACAGGGTGTACTGGAAGAAACTGCAGCCTGTGGATGTTAGGGGAATGGCCAGCCAAAGATCACCTCTAAGCAGAAGTGTTGGTTGTGTTGGAACTCAGCATCTCTGGTTTGCCTGAAATACAACAGTTTGTTTCTACAGGTTTTCAAGAGAGCTGTTAGTGGCTTTGTAGCGTTAATGTGATGCATAGATTTTGTAACCTCCAGTGAAGAGAGAGTGTGAAAGGAGGAAAGAAAGAAGGAAAGAAAGTGCTGTTCTCTGAAACTATGATATCTCTGTCAAAAACCTAACCAACTGTAGCTTCAGGGTGCCTTGTCAAAAGTGAGAAGCCACAGAGAAGCCTCCATAGTCTGCGCCTAAGCAGGCATGCAGACACAACGTTTGAACTGTAGTCATCCAACAAGAGAGGCCACTGACAAAGCCCTTCTGGGCAGTAAACCCCTTACTATCATCCCTCTGTGAAATGCGAAAAATTTACAGCCTCAGGATGCAAGCCCTTATTATTTTCACTGAGGCTGAAGATGGGTGAAATAGATGGTGGATGAATGACCAGGTTGGTGCGGAGCAAAGATGATAGTTCATTAGA